AAAAGCCTCCAAATGGAAGTAGCATCCTTTTAACCAGAACCCTATAGGTGGTGCATGTTCTTTCTTCTCACAACAGTTTATATTTAAAACATATTTTATATTATGTTTTACTGTTTTAGTATACCAAGAAACCTATCTACTTCTATCATTTATCCAAAATAGAGTATTTTATAATGTTGACACATTTTCTATATTTATAAATAACCCCTATTTATACAACACATTAGCATAAATATTTGTCTACAAACACTTAGTAATCTGTGATAGTGTGCTTGCCATAAAGACCTTTAATAATGCACTGATCACCAGTCTCTGACATTTATATGTATCTATTACTATTTACTTATACTTATTATCTTAAAATAATTAATAACTAATGACTGTATTTTATTTAGTTATAAGTACAAATTTGGATGAAGAAATCATGTCCAAGTTTTTGGAAACCCTGAACCAAAAGTTTGATCCCAATAGTGAATTAGATCTTATTGTAGAATACTTAACAGCCATGACCAAAGTTAATCGGTTTAATCTTATTGTAAAGATGTTAGACAACAAAGTTAAAGAAGGTAAAATATACATTTACTAATTGTTATTGTAGTAGCTTTTGTAAAAATAGTTTAAACTATTAATTATTATCAACTAATACTACTTTATTTCAAACATGATCATAAGCTTTAATTTTTGTTCTTAATATAAAAACTAATTTTAAATTACTTGAAAATAATACATACTTATTTTAGATTCTGAGCGGACAGATGAATGTATTGATTTTACAATGATGTGTGTTTCTTTTATTTGTGTCTGTAAACGATAAGTAGTCAAAATAATGCTTTGATTTTCATCAACAGTATCTTGTTCGATGGGAAAGTGAATCTAGTTGGTGCATTTAGGAGGTCAAAATTAAAAATTGTAAATAGTTTTCAATGCGCTGGGAAAAACAACATAAAAATTAAGGAAAAACGGGAATTATTACTCAAAGTTTTGTTGGCAACATTTTTAGTTTCTAATTTTTTAGTTTTTATTTATCTATGAATGTCAATAACATTTTATTTGTTGGTAAAAAAAGCTTAAAAACATAATACAAGGCTCCTACTATATTGTTATAATGACATTTGAAAAATATATTAAAAATCTCAAGTAACATTTTTTTTTTTAAAGCATTTAAATTTCAAATCTTGTCAAAATACGGAAAAATTTTGAGAGTTGAGAATTCACAACAATTTTTCTTTTTAAATCTAAAATTTGGAAATGTAATACAAGATTCCTCATAAGTTTGTCTACCTTTATCAAAAAAAAAGTACAAGCAAATTAAATTTTTATGAACGTTTGAAGTTCATATTTTTACAAAATTGGATGATCACTTGATCTATCATGTAGCGATTTTTTCTTTTGTTGTAATTCAAACACAAATAACTGTAGATACATGAAAATTTTATTGAATGTTTATATTCTCATTTTCTATACACCATAAAATGTTGAAAATATTATGACTCGTTTTGAGCTGTTTATGAACAATTTCAAATTTCAATTTTATTTGTTTGACCAAAAAGCTTGAAAATTTAATACAAGGCTCCTGGTATATTTTTACTGTAGCAGTTTGAAAAATATTAAAAATACATATGCACAGTTTTATTTATAAGCATTTCAAGTTTGAATTTTGACAATATATCAAATTAAAAATTTAAATATGTATAAAATGTACAACTTTTATAGTTAAGGATTGAAAATTTAAATAATTTTCAACGTAAGTAGTTATTTCTGTAACCAATGTAAAAATATGAACACAGTTTTTTTATAATTATTGTAAGTTCAAATTTGGATGAGATTACATATTAAATAAGTAAAAACCAATAATAAAGATTATAGTTTATTTTTTGTAATTTTATAATATAAATTCAACTTACCGGCTACCGTATTAATAATAATTAATAAGTAATAACAATATAAAATATCCATACTGACAAATCGTGACAGCTCAGAATCTTTATTCAAATATATTTATATTTTATATCATTGAATTCAAATTTAATACTATCCATTATACAGTGACCCACTTGTAACCAACTGTACAGTAAAGCGAGATCCACTTACCCACCTTTTTTTTTTATTATTATTGATACAATCATTAATCGATTATTCTTATGAAAAGTATTGTAGCTTAATAAATATTGTAACTTTAAATCAACATAATATATGTTAATACCTGTATAAATGATAGTAAATTCTTGTTATTCAATAGTTTTAAGTGTTATTATTCCTAACATAATTATTGAATGTATGTTTAAGTTTCTAAAATAAAATATATATTTTTCAGGTTTCCAACCACTACTAGAACGTGTTCATCGCTATACAAAAAATAATTTGTTCTCATCATTATTATGATTATAACTTGTATCAATGATGTGTTCCTCTAATTGAGTAAATAATAACAAGAAAATGTATTCATCTTCCTCTTTTTTTTTGTAACACGAAGAATGTTTTATTGCAGTCAATGCGTTTTTGTTATGTCCGAGAATTAAAAAAATAAAATAAAAAATAAATGTTAAAATGAATAATAAAACAAAATGTAATTTCAAATGAAAACTATACAAGTCTGATTAATATACCTATCAAATCGTTTTAAGAATTTTAAATACAATATAGTATATTATAGTATACCCTATTTAATGTTATTAACAAATGTGTGCAATTTTATGTAATAATAATAATTAAATAATATTATCGCTGTACCGGTTAATTGATAATAATATTATTATGTATTTGGACTTATTGATAAATTGCAAATAATACAAAATTCTATGTGTAATATTTTATCTTTCCGGTACTTGCCTCTGCTGCCTAAGGTTATTATTCACAGCTCAAATTATAAATTAATAAATTCTCTCTTAACGGTGCAAAAGGGTAATTAATTCCAAAGTTGATATCCAGCAACTGATTTAATATTAACATCATTGAATAAGCCACCTTGCATATTATTTATATTATAAAAAATCCCATTCAATTGTTATAAATTGTTGTCATTCCTGGATTAAGAGGCCCAGTTCCAGTTTTTCAAATTTTCCGCAATTTTATAAAATTTGAAAATTAAATTTTATATTTTAGTTATCTTAATTATAATACTTTTCCAATAATCTACTACCCGATACCTATTTAGGGATGTTGATAGGGTGTATTATATTGTGAAAAAAATTACTTCAAGGGAATAATTCTCAGACCTTATAGAATTGTCGGATTGTTATAACTTTTTTTTAACTTAAAAAAGAAGACTTCCTACAGGCAGCATCACACTCCAATTTTATATTTTATTTCAAATAATGGTACAATTTTATGTGTCTGGTGTCTGTCATCGCCATTTTAAGCAGAAAAAAAAGCTTCAATTTTCAATTTTTTTAATGAAAATTCAAAATTGTCATAAGGAAAAATTACCAAAATTTTTCAAAATAATCCGGGAAAAGAAAAAAACATGTATGGAAAACGAGAATTTTTACACAAGACAAGTTTGTGACAAAATTGATATTGTTCTATGTGAATGAATTGATTTTAAAATTATGTCTAGTTTTTGTTTTTAAAATTAAAAATTTCAATAGTTTTTGAAAGTGTTGTGGGGGAGATTAGCCCCCCTCCCTAATGTGAATTCAGCCCCCACGGATTTATTATCGTATTAATGTAATATTTGTAAAGAAAAAAATTAAAATATGACTTACTTCGTAGTAGGTGCATAATACATAAAAATAAATTTAAAAAAAATCAATGGTATACTCATATTTTATAAAAATTGTTCAGAGATTTTGAACGTTTTGTACAATGTATACATAATTACATATAATTTATAAACTATAAACATATAACTACTATCGGGAATAATATTAATTGTTTTATGTTTGTGTTTAGCACTATAATGTAGATAATAGATATCAATTTCGTTTTAGTTTGGGCTTACTTAGTATAGAAAAATACATGTGGAATCGGTCTTAAATAATTTTGCAAAAACTCAAAGAAGAATTAATTTAATTTTGTACATATGAATTAAAATAAAATTGTGTACCTACATTTATTATTTTATATGATTGTGATTTTTTTAATTTAATTACTAAGCTTTTATCTTGCAACATTACAGCTGTTAGTGATTAATGATTATAACTAGTAATAATAATTCAATGGTTATTTTGATCATTTAAAGGTATGGGGACCCTCCCCTCCCCCATTGAAATTCCCTATTTGTGCCTATTGTGGGGGGGGGAATGATGCTAAACACAACTAAACGTTATTTAGTTGTTAAAATATATAAAATTTTCAATTTAAATAGCTAAGGTTTGAAAATTGAATACAAATTTCCTTATAACCCACCAATGTGCCGCTGAATCAATTTAGTTCTCACTTCTCATCAACAAATTTGTCTGTTGCTAGGTATTTTTATCATATCTATTGATGTAATTATGTGTTTTCGTTTATCGTTAATCGTTATGAATGATAAATTATTTTACCGTTTCTTTTATTCATGTTCATTTTGTTTCATTCAAATATTTAAAACTATATTATTCTCACGATTTAAGATAGTATCTTAAGCGTTCCATATATAATTTTATCTATAATGTCTAATGTATAAAATCCTAATTTGTTAAAGCAGGGGACGCTTTTTAACCGCCGTCAGAGGTAGAGGGACTGAGTCCTGCGCCCCTCCCCCACTTTAGCCTCTGAGTATAGTAAATTTATTTTTCGTAATATTGACATTATTTGTTTGAAGACATAAAATTTTAGTCTGCACTTTCTGAACCTGAGTCAATATTTACTTGTTTTTCCTTAATTTCCTGTTTAAGTTCATTGTGCAGGATTAGGGATTCAGTTCTACTGATTGTGTTCTTTCGCATTTCAATTGTTTGATTTTCCGTGCCTACCATTTATGTACGCCGCCTGTAAGTGAGATACTCACCCTCCAGGTCGTCTATTTGACCGCCTTCTCCGGCCTGCGACGACCACAATGTCAGTTATTGTCACCACCAATGAATACGTCGAATACACCAACGCTTACTAAAGTTGAACCTACCCTCGCCGATCTTATAGCTATTATAAATGACAATGCCAGCGATCATGCACAACGGTTTAACCGTCTAGAAAATCAGTTTAGTGGTTTTACTAAACGGCAAGATGCAGTTGAGTTACTAGTGTATAAAAATGATAAAAATATTGTCATTCTTCACCGCAACTCAGTCGATCAGCGAACTGCATTCACGAAATCCGACGATAGAACGATAGAATGGCGAAGATCCACGCTGACGCCGAATACCTTAAGGAAACTGTGAAACAGATACAATCCGATTTAAAGGTACCCCCGACCAACTCTACATCTCAAGCGCAATCATTCCAGCCGATATACAATTCGACAGAGGCCCATATCAATGAATCTCGACACTTGCTAAATCCGTCTGGCCAGTCGTATGTGTCTGCGTCATTTAGTCAGTCGGAAAGTTTTACTAATGTTGTGTCCGAGCTCACTGGCCATCGTCAGGATGTGCACTCAAAGAAGTTCTTAAACCAGCTGGATCAATACTTGTATAATTGTTCACACGACCATCAACTTGTTGAACTGTTTCAAAGGCGGTTGACCAGAGGTTCCAGAATATGATTGGCTTCATGTATGCCTGTTCCAACCACCTATGAGGGGGTGAAGAAGTTGTTCCGCCAGCAGCTTTGGTCTGCGGCCACACAAAAAAAAATTCAGAATGAAATTTTCCAACCCTATTAATACCGTTCACCAGTGAGGATCAACACTCATGACTTGGATTGCTAAAGCTAAATACTTATCTCCACCCATCAACAAATTTGATCTTCTTGGCATAATCATACAGCATTATCCGTCTACTTTGAGGATGGCCATTCGTGGTCGGGGCCCCCAAACGACGAACGCCTTATTATCAGTATTGATAGAGATTGAGGAATCCGCATCCTTCTGTGAGGCCCAGGTCCCCTCCAGTCAGACCACGGGCCAACTTAACCTGCACTGAACCATGACCAGCCACCACGAGATTCTCACGAACGGAGAGGATATCAGCCACGTAAAAATAATCGCAATAACTACCAGAACGGTCCGCATCGAGGTCCCCAAAATTATCATCGTCCTCCGGCTCAAAACGAAGAACCAATTTATCAGCTGAACGCTTCGGGAAACTGACTACAGTCTTGCCAGTGATACGGCACCTGACGAGACTGGACTGTCATCCGATTGCTACCCACCGATCAGAACCTCAAACCAATTCCAGGGACACGTTCCACACCGTCCAGAATTTCTCGTCAAAGTGTGTGGTGCGTCTGGTTCTGCTTTGCTAAAATTCTGGAGCTTCCGTTTCGGCCATATCCGAAGAATTTTTTTCTACCATCAAGAATCGGTTATCCTTGGAGATGACTGGCTATCCAAATACAGAGTTGTTCTTGACTATGCTGAACAATGTATCAAATTTCCTCAGTGGGGAAAAGAATATTTATTCAAAGGCGACGATGGAGAGGTTCCAGATCACCCGTCTAAATGTCTATTATACTACCGAACACGTCGTGCCCACTGAATTGGAACATTGCCTCTCTAGTCTCTAGTATGAATAGTTTGGACAGGTTTTCATCACCACCTCGAAATTTGGAAATTTACTGTATTAACAACCACGCATGTCCCAGATATCCACTATCAAATCGGCTCAACGAACTTATGTTCAATGACGCTGAGATTACGGTCGAACAACGAAAAAGTATATTATGTCTTCTCCAAGAATTCACTTACATTTTTAATGACCGGCCTGCACCAGCTATATAGTGCGTTTCACCGTGTCTGACGATGTACAGTGCACATACACAGTGCCTTTTGCCAGACTTCTGCAATTTCTACCGGAAGTTCGCCAACCATCAAGCTTCGTTAATTGCTCCTTTGATCAATCTCATTAAGCAAGGTGTGCAGTGGAAGTTTGAAGAAGAGGAGCTCAAAATGTTTGACCGCGTCAAGCAATCGTTTACCGAACAGTAAATGTCACACCCCTTGTTCGATCAGATGTTTTATTTGCAGACCTATGCCAGTAAACTCGGGTTGGGAGCCGAGCTGTTCCAACTTACGTCTGACGGAGAACGCCGAACGATTTTGTTCGCTAAATTTATAAAGTTACTTCATATATCTCCGCCAACAGCAGACTGGGTACTTTTGGTCCAGGGTGCAAAATTAATTATTGGCCCTTAAATTTTTTTTTAAACTCAGGCCCTTCAAGGACCGTTAAGCTGAAGAAAGAAGAAGAAAATTAGGAAAGAGTTATAGATTACAATGAGAGTTAAATTTAAGAAAGGTCCCGAAAATCGGAAAATGGTAATCGGGGCTTGTATTATAAATACGAATGGGGGTCCCAGGGTGCTACCTGATTTATAGCACCCTGGGTCAGTCGGCCCCTCGCCACTGTATATCTGTATTCTGTGTGTCTACATCATGATTTAAAATAGTATCCTAAATACACCATGAAGACTAGAGATCTCTAGCATAGATTAAACACATAGACATATTAATATGTATGTAATAGGATAATATTATATCATCACAGAACAAACAATAGACAAAGAAAATAGTAACAAACTTAGTCCGTAAGTACTGAGTACCCCCATCCCTACTGATACCACAGTTTGATTACCGTTATCTTTAATTTGTTTCTTATCATTCTAATAACTATTAACTAATAAGTACACTAATGACAGATATTTATTAATTATTTATTTATTTATTTATATTATTTTATTTATACAGGTATTTAAGAATAAGTATTACTTAATATTTTAATTTTTAATTAGTTTCAAAAAAGTATAACGAGCTCTTGAACATTTAACCACAGTAACAAATTTTATCTATTCTGTGATTCAACCATCAAAATACGTAAAAGTCTTGTTATATGTTTCTATTAATTATTAAACTATTAAATATTTTTAATTAGGAATATTATAAGAATTTGATACGCCTTAAAAGTAAGACCATGTCCAAGGTTGTAAGAAAAGCTGCTGGATTTGTAGTTTATAGAAAAAACTGTGATGAAATAATTGAGTACTTACTTATGCAAGCTTCTTATGCAAACCATCATTGGACACCACCAAAAGGTGTACATTCAGCAACTAAACATGATTTATCTAATTGTTTATTATATTGACTTATATTAATTTTAGGTCACTTAGAGGAAAATGAATCCAACATGGATGCAGCTATTCGAGAAACTGATGAAGAAGCCGGTATTAAGCTGAAAGACCTTAGTGTTGATCATAATTTTGAAAAAGTGTTAAAGGTATAATTAGTTGTTTTGTGGCTAGTAACATGGTTTTCTATGTTCTTTGGATAATAATTATAGTTGATACAATCTTAATCATCTATAGGCTAAACAACCATATGTGTTAACAACGCTTTGGTGCCATTTGGCAGCCAATATATATTTGGAGTAAATGGTTAATTATTCCTTACCCGTGGCTGAATGTTATTTTATTATTATTTAGCATGTACTAAACTCGTTTTAAAATATTTATTCATACTAAGTTTGGACGAATGACCATATAGGAGAAGTTTCTTTCTGTTATTCCTAGAAGGCTGTTGTTCTTACTTTTATCATACGCGCTTAAAACTGCAAAAAGACACACACAGTCAATGTTTTAAGAATATTTCTAAATATTAATTACACATTTATAAATATCAAATAGCATACCATTTACAATTTACTACAAGACATATAAGGTGCACTATGGATTAGGTGGAATACTATAACATACTTTGAAAAAAAGTTTAACTTGTATTCCATATTTTTATATAAGCTTATATATTATATGTTATGTGTGTATATAAATATTATAATCTAAGATTATAATTAATATTTCATGAATACAAAATACATAACAATTTGGAATACAAAATAAATTAAAAATAGATACTAAATATGGCTGAGTGCCTGCTTCTGTTATACATTATAATTAATATCTGTCATTTGATATGAACTATGTACAAACTAAACCATTCTTTTAAGTTTAAAGGTGTTAATAAAACCAGTGAAGTAAAACATACGTTTACAATATTGTTTATTATTGTTATATTAATTTTCCCTTTTTATTATAATTTCAGTACTCAATAGCCAGTTAATATAAAAAAAACCCATGCTAGGACTAATTTAATATTTTAAATAAATACCTACATTTTGTGCAACATATATTATATGAAAAATTAATTTTCCAAAATGTGCAAATTAGGTACTTATTATTTTTATATCATGCAATACTATTTTGATTTTGGTTTAGTTGACTCAATATGAATTAATTTATTTTTTACAGTATGATCCAAAAGATAAACCATTTTCCAAACAAGTCACTTATTGGTTAGCTCGTTTAATTAATCCCGATACACCAGTAGTGTTGTCTAATGAACATCAGGATTACAAATGGTTGCCTCTTACAGAAGCTAAAAAAGTGGCTGCATATCCTGAAATGCAAGAATTATTTGATGACTGTGAAAATTATTTAAATAAAACTAATGTCAAGTAGATTTTTATAACTATTTTTTGTTGTTAATTAATTGTATTGCTTCAAAATTAATTATCAAATAACATTTACATTACATGTTATTAAATAAATTTATTATAAATGTACAGTTTTTAAATTATACCTAGATTACGATACCAATATTACATATACATTTTTATATTTTTATAATACCTTTTATTACATATATAATAGGTTTATCATTTTATATTATTTATATATAGAAATGGTACACATATACGTTGACCCCTGTTGAGACACATTAAGTGTACATTGAGTGTATATTATCCCCAAGTGGGAATATTATATATTGTATACTAGGTATCTATATTGGCGCAACTAGGTCTGAAATATTGTGCTTAGAGCAGTGACGTATCTACAGGGGGAGGGGGGGGGGTCATATCTACCCCCGGAAACCAAATTTTGTACACAATACATCGTTTTACTAAACCATTGAATTTAGAAAAATTCTAAATTTGTAAATATTACATAGAATATTAAAATATATTAAATTGAAAATTATTTTTGCACAATCCAATATGTGCTAGATTTGAAGACAAAAATTATTGGTTGGGTTCAAATTTATTTTGGAGGTATTGTTATGGCAATGTGTTTATAAAAATCAAGTTTCTTAACACAACAATTTAAGATAATATATAAATAATTCAAGTTATCTTAAATTCATGTATAAGAATCCTGAATCAATATGTTCTACATTTTAAGTTTGATTCCAGTGTTATATTATGTTGGTATAATTTAGAGACTTCAACAAATATAAAATGTACATGAAAGCAATTAAAAATAGTATTAAAGCCATTATATTTAGTGCTGTAGACCTTTATTTTTATTGCCGCCCAGTTGCGATTTAAGTTGAAAGTTCTAATGTCAATTATAAAGATTCAAATACAATCACTATAGGCAGACCATTATACAAATAGAAATTTGACTGTTTAAATATTTTGATATATTAGCGGTTAAAATAGAATTAACGTCTGTCAATAAGATAAATGAATAATCAATTACATTGATTTAAAAAATACATGTTGGCTCTTAGTCTTGACAAAAATTATAATTATACATTTATACATCAATCTGAAATAGATATTAAAATAATTTTAATAGGCAATTTCATAAAATGTATTATAAATATATAATATACTTTATATATTGAGACATTAATTACTTAATTATTTTATTTTTTACCATTAGGTATTTTTAAACCATTTAATTATTTAACAATCTTTATCAGAGATATTAAAATACCTATTCAACTACAAAATAATAAAGCTTTCATAGACACACAATATACATCGATAGCATGTTTATTAACAGAGTAATTTAAATTATAAAACCAAATGCAGTTTATACAATAAGTTAGTAACTTTATTGTAAGTAATTTAAAAAAACAGTCACTGTATGATAAATTATTTCAATAAAAATAAGAATGTTACATCCCATCAAAAATATTTTTTATATCTTATAATCAAATAATGCAATATTCCAGAAAATAAAATTAATTTATACTTGTACATAATGATCAGGAAATCAAATAAAACATGAAATGAGAAAGCCTTTTACAATACATTTTTTTTTTTAAATTAAATTTAAAAAAAAATTGCAATACATAATACTTTCTTTTCATAATAGCATTGAATTTCAAGTATATTTCAATGGTAATCAAGAATAAGTCTCTTGATATTAATACATACACAAGTACAATACTCGTATAATTTTAAAGTACTTATTTTCATATAAGTATAAAATAAATTTGACTGAAGATTTCAAATTTTTTTTATAAAGGAAAAGAATAAATTATAAGTAAATAGTAATACAAATAATAATAAACACATTTTATGAAACTTGGTTATTATTTAATTGATTTTTGTCAATTATATTAATTAGGAAGAAAAAATTGAAATAGTTTGAACACAACTTAAAAAAAAATACTTTTTCAAAACAAACAGAAATTTCATTTTTTTTTATCAGAATCAATATAATCAGATATATATATAATATATACCAACAGAAAATAAATTGTTAACCTCTGTAATACTCAAAAGAACTAGGCTCTTTACTTGCCACTTTCAAGAGCTTGAATTTCTGCCAATACTTCGCTCTTTTTAGATATCTTCACACGTTGATCATTATCAATTTTACCACCTTGAGCAACCTTAAGTTCCAGTTCATCAATGGTCTTCAACTTTTTCTTAAGGTTCCTAATTCTTTTAGCAGCTTCAACTGAAATCTCAATAACAGGCGCAGCAGGCTTTGCTTTGGGTTGAGTCTTAGGTTGGACCTGTGTCTTAGATTGAGATTGTGTTTTAGGTTGGACTTGGGTCTTCGGTTGAGCTTTTGTTTTGACTTCAGGTTTGATGACCTTTTCAGTCTTTTTAATAGCTGCTGTACCATTTTGCTGTACTGGAGGGATTGTTTTTTTTTCAACCTTCTTGGGTTGAGTACCATTTGTCAATACTGAGGTTGGTTTTTTATCACTAACCTTGGTTGGTTTGTTCTCTTGTTTTGTTTCTTTTTTGGACGTGTCTTTCTTACTATCTTTTTTAGCATCCTTCTTTCCTTCTTTCTTGGTTGGTTTAGGAGGCGAAGGAAACATAATTCTATGAAACAAAAAAGAATATTTACAATGAAAATGGTATATAAGTAGGTAGAAACATGGGCAAAATTTCAATAAAAAGAGGGTGCTTAAGCTCTGCATTTTCAGGGCATTTATAATTATGGGACAGTAATGGCTATTTTGATCAAAAATGTTTTATAAGTTATAGCAATTTAACGTTGAATACTTGGCCAAACTAATTGGTAGCGTGAGTGCCACCTGAAATTGATACAATCTTCATTACTATATCATTTTTGATATTAGTTATATATAATGTAGAAAAAAAAGTTCAATAAATTAAATTACAAATTACTTGTAACAACTTGTATACATTTGGATATATATAATTTTTAATTATATTTTTTAAATGTATCAAATCAAAATCTTGGATCTAAGAACTAATTAGTGAATACTGAATAGTGTAAGGCTTGAAATCATAATTAAAAATTTTATTTTAATTTTATTTCCACATGGATATTTATTTTGTTCTGATTTAAATTTAAAATAATATATTGATATTATAATTGTTATGTTGTATTACCAATAGTTTTTATTAGATTTTATACATAATTTTTTTTTTCAATTTTAAATATAAATTATTACATTTTTACGATTTTAATTTTGATCTAAGAGGAAAATGCCATAGTTTGAGCGATCGTGTAACAGACCCTAAAAAACAAAATATTAGTTTTATATTTATTATTATCTACACATATACCACATTATAGACCTATATTATAAAAAATATAAAACAACAATTATTTTGGTACCTACCTATAAATAATCGATTTAAATTGTTTTCAATTTAAATATAAACTTTGAATGTCATTAAAAAAACATTTGATTTTGATATCACTTTATAGATGATTTTAACAAATTTTATTGATATTTAAAATCGATTTTAAGCCCTGGAAAAGTGATTCGTAAATCAGAATTTATCTGAATTAGATGAGGGCACAAAACTGTAGTGCTGTACTGTGTTCGGGAGTTTGTTACAATATTAGTAAATACTCCGCGATACTATTGTTGTAGTATTGAGTCGCTACTGAACATTAATACGTGATAATATGATCGCCAACCGGATTTCGTAGAAGATAGAAAAAACAAGTTCTAAACATACCTATATTTAAAAAATCAAATTGTGAATTAACATTGTTTTATTAATTATACTTTGATAGTCTGATATCTGATGAAAAGCTGATTTGTTTTTTTTTTAAGCAGAGGTTTTGATGCGTACCTAAATATCAAAAATTTTTCCGAGGGCTTATTTTATAATTGGGGGTGCTAATATCCCCTAAGCTTCCCAAGTTGTGCCTATAGGTATAATTTTTAATAATTATGAATTATTTTGTAATTTTTTTATACTCACTTCACAATTGCTTCAAGACTAGCAATCTCCTTGCAAACAGCATTTTTGGTAGAAATCTTTTTACGCTGGTCATTATCAATAGAATGTCCTTCGGAAACTTTAACTTCCAACTCTTCAATATTTTTCAACTTTTTCTTAAGATTTCTTACCCGCTTAACAGGGTCAGTTCCTGACGACTCTACCTCAGGCTTCTTTTCTACTGGCTTCTCCTTTTGTTTTGGTACCTCAGGCATTTTAATTTTCTCTTGTTTGGGTTGTTTTTCGGTGAGAACTTTTTTGGCTTGTTGCTGTTGTTTAGGTACCGCAACCATTGCAACAGGTGCACCTGGAGGTAATGTAGGTTTATTGGCAGCAAATTTTTTACCTTTGGATTCGTAAAGTTTTACTTCGTCCTGAGGAATATAGTTCTCCTTGAGCCGCCTTTCCTTACGCCAAGTGCCGTCTGCGCGTTGTGTAGCTGGAACGAAGTAACCCTTATCGTCTTTTAAAATAGCAGAAGTTTGGTCCAAGTACTGATGGGCCATTTGCTACTTACCAATACTGTCAATTACCAGATTACAATAACTTGAAAAGTAAAGTAAAATTACTGTAACAAAACGCCACACTCTTCACTTCTGGTCAAATGCTTCACTTCAGTCTTCAACCAAAAACTTGTAGCGTGTGCTTCTCAGACCTCAAAAAAAAAAAAAAACCTTATCATAAAACCGTCGTTGCTACAAAGGATACAAGTATACAACAACAATGTGACCAACCGGTCTTAAATTATTTTCAATGAGGTTTCAAATATGTATTTGTATCAACTTTTAAGTTTTGTCTAGTGTGTTTGAACTAGATATTTTTAAAATTATTAAAAATTAAAATTAAACTCACAACTCACGACTTAATAATAAATTATTCTCATTCCATATCTATTTGCCTACCCAGCAGCTTTACCATGTACTTAATACATAATGAGTATTAATAATACCTCGCAAGGGCGAAGGGCGTCCATCTTTGAAAATCCAAGGGTGGGACACTGTATTT